AGTTGGTTGAGCATCATCCACATGTCCAGTGTGAAGAAGGTAATAGATAGAATAGGTCATAGAAACGCAGAATAAGGAGCACATGTAATATTAGTGATAATGAATCACTAACAAATTACTTTGAACCCCCAAATGTTCATATTCCATCATTTGGAGTGAACTAAGTTGACTTGCGATCATACATGTTAAAAAACGTGATCAAAGATATGTATACAATACTCCTGTATTCACTGATTAAAAGGATGATACATGAAAGTTCCGTGTTAAGCTTTGATAAAGGTTACAATCAGTCTCTATCTCGCGTATGCATGTTTGAAATCATTGATATAAACTGTCTTTTAAAGTCATATAATGACAAGTAAACTGGAAATTTTAGTTGTTTTTGTAAATCTACCTTTGGATCTGATTTATTCTATTCCCCTCATTTGAGGAGAACCAATAGCTTTTATCACACAGAAATGACATTCATTTAAATTCTGGCATTATATGGAACTGAAGTGCAGGTTTCAGCAGTTTTTCATCTGTATTCAGCTTGAAATGATTGCCGACTTTTGGCAAATATACACTTACAATATCTATATTAACTAAAAACCTAGGACATATTCAGAATTATAAACAACATATGTTTTCCTCTATCGGCTAATCATGACTAGTGTTCTTAAATACCTAATGTGAATAGATGAACTGAGGACAAATGCTTTATGAGCATGCTCAACAGCAATGAATATACCACAAATATCATCAAAGGGATGCTTATCATCAACTCAAAAGACCAGTATTATGAATTAAATGTCAATCAGAATGTAGAATATTATTTTTTTCAATAATTTCTCTTCAGGTTCTTACAATTATAAAATATTATATTTGTTGTCATCATTATAATGGCCAGTTGTGCGGTGGATACATTTCTTTACGTAGAATAACAGATTAGTTAGGTGGTGTCAAAATAAATAGTCGTATTCGTGCGACAAATGTGCTAGGCTGAAATCGATTACAAAATATGGTGAAACAGGAGACAATCTTGGTGATTAGTCATAATAGATTTGTACAAAGAAGTATTTATTAAAGAGGAGATAGTAAGACTGCAATAAGAGGTTCATCATGAAATAACCAATGTGTAAAATGAATTATATATTATATTTTAAAATTGTAAGGACTTGAAGAGAAATTATTGTAAAGAATATTCTTCGTTCAGATTGACGTTTAATTCAAAAGACCAACAGAAAGTAATCCCCCCTTAAGGGAAAAAATTTCAAATTTCACTGCTGGAATGTTGAGATCTACTGGAATTAGTGTCAAACAAAAATCAACACTGTGCTTCTAATCAAAACTGTGTAAACCAGTAGACCCAGTATCAAAAGAAGACAAAACCAAGGTCACCTGTAAAATAAGTCTCCTTAACTGTCAGAATTATTGTGCTAGCCAAAGCGAATATCCTGTTCATCTTAGCATCCATGAGCAAAAACTAACAATCAAAAACTATAACAGAAATTTATTCTTAATAATAGCTCTGGGCACCATTTTTACTGGGATAATATAGAAATTTTAGATAAGGAAACACAAAAATAACCTGCAATTCTTAGGAGCCTAATATTCAGAAGAATTCTTAGATAATAGACAGGTTAAAATAAATTCAATTTATCAATATGAATCAGTGCAGTCGTCAGGAATCTTCGGGGATGAGTAATCATAGTCAGTGTATTCAGGGCAGATAGATGTTTTATCCATGGAGGAAATCCAAATCTCACTCAACACTGAAGTTGCGCCGAAGATGTTGGCCAAAAGGACTATTGAAACTTTCTCAACTAAATCATTCTACTCTAAAAAAAACTTAAAAGTTTTAAAACAAGGCAAAATTTGACGACACTGTTGAAACAGAGTCAGACAATAGCAATGGTATGACACTGCCCTTGAGAGTAATATCTTCGGAACGGGATTTACAATTGTTGTCATTTGGTGGATAATGACCGGCAGCGAAACCCAGGATTCTCAATTCCTCCTTTTGGGGACTGGCCAATTGTGTGCACCTGCACTCCAATGTGAGTGATGGTGGTCCTACTGGGAGTCAGATCCAAAATCCTTGGTTGAAATGTTAAAGCAAATGTTCACTAGACCACCTGGGCTATGACAAGTACGTCTTGTGTAACAGGGGTAAGTTATAATTTTATTTAAATCACTTTCGTGTTTCTCACTGACTGACCGAACCACAGGGTTTGACTTAAGTTAACATGTCAATTCCTATTACGAAGGTTTCAACGATGTCTTAAAATCAACATTAATTTTATCTGATGCATGGTGACTAACACTGAAGTTCGGTAGGAACGCCATTACTCACTGAGGATTGTATCCACATCTAGCCTTTAAGTTCCAAATAGGACGTGGGTTCCACTGCTTACTGCAATTCTTCATACATCATCATCTATGTTAATCCCCAGACATCTTCAAAGCGTTCGTACTAGGAGTAAACATATCAACGGAAGCCGAACGCTTCGGTTCAGTCAACCAACTAGATAAACAAAACTGACTTAAACACAAATGCCTTTACAATTATCCATTCAGAGACGTAGTAAATGAATGAAAATTTTAAAAAAAACCTGTATTATTTTGCCAAAACTGAATGTAGAGAAGGAAACGAAATAACAACAATTATAACATTACTCATCGTTTCATTGACAGAATTGCTCATTTAATAATGTATTCGACGTCAGATTTATCATGGCTAATAAATGTACTACTGATAAAACGTCAACATTTTACTGTAATCATCAGAGGTAAAATTACAAAGTCATAGAAAATGTATGCATGCATACAAATTAAGACTTCTAAAGCTTATAAGTCTATGTCTGCGGCTATAATGCTTAATATAACTCACTGTAATGTTAGACTCAATTAAGCTTTCATCAGGTGAAGTATAGAATAAAAAGAAATATCTTTTAGATAATTGTAATAATCAGTTTACTAATGATCACTTTTAATCATTTACAAGCATATCAATCCAAAGACTAATTGACTAATGAATTTCGAAATAATGTAAATGTTGACAGGCAAAACACAGCGTAAAGTTATGTCGAAAAGAATATTTAAACAGTGGAGAACATGAAAGCATCAGTATATAAAGAAGTTTGTTATTTATAGCTCTTGAAGCTTGCTGAGATTCTCTGCCAAAACGACTATATATACTTAATTTTCCTACCATTTATTCAAAGGTGACGCTCCAGTAAGAGATGGACATCAGTTGATGTATCACTGAGAACCTTGGAATACTAAATACTTTCTTCACCTTCATTTGAGATTATCAATTAGTACACTTTCATAACTCAGCCTGATCTCCGGAGTAATTCTCAGGTTATTTTGGTGGATGTTGACTAGCAGTGGAATACAGGACGCCCGTTCTACCTATTCTAATCGGAACTCGTCATATAGATGTGCCTGCATTCCCGCAGAGACTTGGACCCAGTATTCATCGTTTTGAACTCCAAGGTATTGTCCACTAGACCACCTGGACCATGCATGTATCGGTGGTACAGAGGTAGAATGCCCCCTAACTAAGTATATGGTTCTGGGTTTGATCCCCGCCGACACACTCCTTTACCTCGTCAAAACCAGTAATCAGACTGGTAAGTATGAAAGGTTGGACATGAGCCCAGCTACCCAACCTCGTAGAAATAAAAGCCACTGCTACCTAAACTCCAAGCCTCTAGCTTATAGCTCTATGTTTCACTAGAAATATAAAGGCATGAAAAAAACCCACTCATAACAACACCGAGGACAGCAGTTACTTACTTCAGATTACTAGGTGAGCACAGTTACAATCTAAACACTGGTGTTTTATCCAGTGCCTCATGAATCCCACCATTTTACTAAATCCAGTTAAATGCTTTAATTGCAATTAACTGTTCATTGCTGACTCTTTTTGAGATGGATTTACAGAAGTCCCAATGAGAAGTCATGACTGATAGGGTATACCAAACCAAGTACCAAGACAACTCAGCGGTATGATAAAACCATAGGTAAACCATAAGATTCTAAATTACTGACTGCACTACAAAGTAATCACCAGTTAAAGTGGAGGTTACTATCGTCGATACAGGTTCTATCAGAGTTCAAGCGTAGGACATAGTAACTGTCTGGTAGTTTATAATTTGTAATAGTTAGCGTACTGATGTTAGTTAGTGAAGGAAATCTGCCTTCACTTTTATCAACATTATTTCTAAGCAAAGAGTGGATCTTAAGGGTAGACAAACTCATCCAGAGATTCAAGTCTGCGTCTTCTATATGCACAGAGAAAGCAACCATCTCAATGCATTAAATAGCTGGTAAAAATTAGTGATGAACAAAACCGCTACTCTCTTAATGCATAATACTTATCCAATCTCAGTATCTCTGTTGTTAAAAATGTGAACTGATGAAAAGTGATAAATTCAACCGAAGGAAATGTCCAGTACTCTTCGCTTTCCAACGATCTATAACTTGTGTTGGTTAGTCAAGAAATCCGCGATGGAGTTAATTATTTCCTTACAAAATCCCATAATCTTAGGAATGCATTGATATATCAAAGTTGACCTCAACTTCCAAGTGTCTAGTGAATAGCGTAAAGAGTAAATACGGGAGTGTCACTCTTATAATCTGACTTTTGATCAGTAGGTATTCATGGTAACACCTGTTGATGTTTATCGAAAAACGATCTCAATACTAATTAAGTCTGAATATTCTAGGAGGTGTGGTTTCCAGTCGAATTATATATATATATATATATATATATGTAATCTACCCCTTGACTTAATTGATCACAACATATATTATAGGAACTGTAAGCTTCAGTTTATATAATTTAGAAAATTGAGACCATTGGCATGAAACACACATATAAAAATAGCATCATGTTATTACCAACCGTGCGGCCGCAATATTTGAATACTCCCCTGGGGATAAATAGTACTGACAAATAGAAACACAGTAATAACAATAATAGACAATCTATTTTTATCAGACAAACTAACCCTTTACTGGCAAAATTATTCATAACTCTTGTGGTTTGTTTCCTCGTAGTAGTTGTTGTTGTAGTTGACGATGCACCGAGTGTTGTTGTCGTGGTTGTAGTCGTCGTGGAAGCGGATGTTGTTAGGGAATCACGTGCTTTACGTTTTGTCGGTGATGTATTGCTTGTTCGCTTGAAAGCTGCAATTTTTATAGTTGATTTTGTTAATCCTTTATTGCCATCATTTGTAGATAATAAAGGAGAACTATTGCAACTGTTAAATAACATTTCATTTGTAGCCCTGTTAATAAAAAAAAGATGGCATAAATTTATACTCATTTCATTCAGTCTTCAAATGAATGAAATGATTTAAATGAACTTAAGTTTATAGCATAGTGTATGCTTCACAAGTATGTGCAATATCTGACTAAAGTCTCATACGACGGCTCAGTGACGCTTTCTGTGTAAACCTGCACCTAAAGATACCGATGCAGAGTTGATTATTAACACTGTCCTTAACGACTTTGTCAACGTATTATTGTATGTGTGAGTATGAAAACACTGGTGAGCATTCGTAAAGAATACAGTAGATAAAATCTCCAAACAGTGCAGTCATATGTGATTCGGTTACTTCTATGAGTTCAGATTTTAGTTTTGTTTCTTTACACACTCTTTCAGATTGGACAGATCCTCTCAACCTCCACTAAATATACTAACGATGAAAGTCATTTCTTCTCTATAAGTACTATTTCTCAACTTTTCAGACACGTGTTTCCCTTCACAAATTTACACAGTTTAAGAAGAAACACCCATACAGAAATATTATCACTGAAATACCACAGATTAATGAATTCTCAAATCTCCACAGAAGAAAATGAAACCATATATCATTCACTTTTGTCAGAAAAACAATTTGGGTAGAATTTCAATAAACAGTTCTACAAAAACCTGACGACAAGTAGGTGAATAGTGAGAAAGAAATGTATATAATCGGTCAAACCCAGTAAACACTAACTAATTATAAGTTAAAAAGAATATACTTACCAGGAAGATAGCCGTATTTCTATGACAGTTAAAAGTTATCCCCACACTTCTTTTGAGCATAGTATTTTAAATGATGTTTTCTGATGGGTTTATTTTTCCTTCACTTTCCCAGTCGAACATAGGACCTCAAGCTAGTGGCTTGAAGTTTCTGTGGCAGTGTTTAATTTTACAGGATGGAGTTGCTAGCCTCATGCCCAGCCTTTCCTCTTTACCAGTCTTATTACTGTTTTTAGCGAGGTACAGTAGTGCGTCGGCTAAGGATCAAACCCTGGACCACGTACATGGTCGGCGAGTGTCTTAACCGCTGTGCCACCGACGATTCTAATGTTTTACAAGGAAATAATCAAAACAGAGTTAAGGTTTGCATTCAGTATTGGAAATCCACTTTCAAAGTACATTTCAACCCTCGTTTTAAATAGAACAATACGATTAAATAACCTCTTTGCACTACTTTTCCCTCCACACTAAAACTTTGGTGATTTTGTATCCATCAGATAGATGTGATCATCATAATGACACTCATTAGAAAGTGAGTAGTGGGGGAAAGTACCTAAACTAGCAATAAATAGCAAGCTGTTAATTAAGCAGTATTAGCTTCCTTTTTCCACAAATGTTCAACTAAACAGAACAATTTAAAAAGTAACTATTTAAACAATAACTGTGTATCCAATAGCAATGAAACATGAAAAAGCTTAGAAAGATTACGTTGTACTGCTCATAGTGCTGAAGAAAAAGCTCACATGAAGTATCACTCTCTCTATTTTGGTTGATTTAGGTACAGCTTGAATGCTTAACAATAGAACCACAAGTCATTTAGTAGTTAAAGTAATAAATCTATTCGTTGATGAAAAAATGAGTATTGCTCTAATTTACCAGTGTTTTAAACGTGCCATTTAAGATTATCTTCGAAAGGCTTTTTTAAACACAATAACTGTACTTAAAAATGGACTTCTTAAAAGAAAGTTGAGCTAGTAATAACTTAAAGGTTTAGTTTAATATAGCCAAACAATGTAAAATGGTAGAAACCCTTGGCGTCATGCAACCAACTGACATAAAGTGAAGACAAATTGACTGTAAAATTTACCAAAACATTATGATTTCTTTATCGATTCTAGTGCTATAACATCTAGTGGTAACTCATGGTATGTACTCAAAAGAGAACTTAAAATTTAAAAGAAAGTGTAAGTCATGCACTAAATACTCACCCGGTAGTTGTGAATAATCTTGGACTCATGGCATCCTTGCCAGTAGCATAAAAAGTTGCAGTAGCAGCTGTTGCACTGACGGTTTTCTTCATCGTCGTTTTTGTAATCGCCTTTTGTGGTGTCACATTATCAGATGAATTTTCATTCGAGGTAGACTGTTGTAGTTTTGCCGCAGTGTCTGCATCAATATCACTGATAGACTTAACATTCTCTTGATAGGTGACTTCAGTTTGTGGGGGAATAATAGCCAATGTAGCTTGAGCAAGTGATTTGCCTTCGGACTTCTCTGAATTCAGTTTTGTAAAGTTAATTACATTCGACATGTTTAAATCGTTGTTTGTTGACATGGATGAAGATTTAGTTGATTCACCATCAGAGGGTAGATTTTTGACTTTGATTTTACGTATTCTTGCTGTAGTTAACACAGTACGTGTTGTTTTTCTTGTTGTACGTTTTAGGCTACCGTCTGGATTAGTTGTGGTTGTAACGATAGTGTCAACAATTTGTGTGGGTGGCATTGCTGATGTAATGATTTCTTCTTCACCTTCACCTTCGATATCATCATCATCACCTTCACCGGCATTATCACCAACAACGTATTCGACTTCTCCCTCCATTGTTTCACATGTCGATGGATTTGAAATCGGTTGTTCACCAGATTTCTGATCCGATTCTGAATGTCAAAACAAGAAACAATGAATTGTTTGAGAATAAATAATGGACATGAAGGAAACAGAAGCGGAAATTCATTTTACACACTTAGCTCTCCCTTTACATAAGAGGAACTTTAGATTTCGAGTTTTTAAACTAAGTGCCTTGTCAGTATTTGATAGCTGTAAAGGGTGAGATCGGTGTGGCGGATTTTATTCTGAAAACAACACATCAGAATAAACTGTGGTGCGTCCAGTCGAAGTTAAGTTGCTGGCTACAACATTGCCTCTTCGGTATTGAAGTGTAACAGTAACATTGATTTTGCAAGATTGATGATCCACTTTACAAGAGGTCAATATACCTGAAGTGGCTAGTCTTTTCTTCAGGTATTTTGAACCTACTATTACACAAGCATATTTGTCTGGTGAAATCATTTGAGAAAATATGTTTCTCTCGGCTTTTGAAGCTAATCAACTCCACTAAAATCTTACTAGTTGCATTTTATTTTGACAAATTTAATGTACATACGCGTAAAAAATAACGATATATATGACTGCGATTGTACAGCTGTGAAAATGAATTCGCTGAAAGGAGACTTTTCGCTGAACTACTGATCTTTTCTCTACATATACATAGATAAAATAGATATGATAGAGAAGATTTGTAGCTCAGGTGGATAATTTTGATGTGGTTTTGTTCTCTGAGCTGGATGGTTAGTTTGCGAAGCTTTCATCGCCCTACTGGGTGACATCTTCAGCGCATACTTCAATTTGAAGTCTGTGCTGAAGATGTCACCCAGTAAGGTGATGAAAGCTTCGCAAACTAACCATCCAGCTCAGAGAACAAAACCACATCAAAATAGATAAAATAATTTCGTTCTACTAGCATTATGGTTGTGTGTATATAAATGAGGATTATAGTGTTCAACAGATGAGTCAGTTTACTCCTGTAAGTCAACAGCAGTGAAGATCAGAACATTTAGCTTATTACTTGACATAGAGATCTTGCGCGCAAACCGCTAAAATGCGTGATGAGATATGCCTGGAACTTTGGCGAATGGGAAAAATTGAACATTTTTTAAAATCCATCTCAAAAGCTTTCTCGTAAACTTAAGTCTAATTCTATTACTTTGATAAGTTCACTGAAAAAGTTAGATACCCAAGGGTGCCAATAAATATTTGCAATACAATATCCCGTCTGTAAATTATAAAGGTATGGATAACGCGTGATGTAGCTAGGAAAACATGATAAGACGTGACATTTTGAGAAGAAAAACCGAATAACATGAATCTTAATTGAGTGGTGATGAAGATTAAAAATGCAGATAAGTACAAAAGTCACTCAATAAATACTTCGGGAAGCAAATATTCCCATTTTTAAATGAGCACATTCTTAACATCCACTGAAGGTTGAAAATTACTTCGTTAGACCTATATGCCAAGCCCAAGATACTACTGCTAACTCAAGGTTATGAAAAGTGATACTTCCAGAATGTGGTGTCAAGGATTCAAGATAATAATATTAACCAAAGATCACAAGTTGGTTTGGGCCAAAAATATGGAAGCTAGGTAAGGTTGTTGTTCCCCTTGATGGTCATGTGCCTGTCTAAGCAATTAGTCCAGGTACACCTTAGTACACGACCTAAACTCCATAAGCCCATGAAATCAATTATGTGGACAAATTTTACTGCTCATTGTAGGCTTTTCAGCACCAGCTTCTATGATATAACGAAATAATAATCCTGTCTTCAATTTAAATAGCTCTGAGATCTAAAGTAATGGTCAAGAGATAGACACAGGAATATTTGTATGGTTATATAAGAGCTGAAATTAAGTTATTGCCTCCAGAATGTCTACGGTAGGAGCCTTTTTTACCAAGGATATCTTTCTTGGTGAGGCCCAAAAGTAAGAGTTTAGAAGACAGCCATATAGCATTATAGTTCTGACCATAAATAACGTTGACTGAAGATTGGCAGTAGTTCTAAGATCGGCTTTACTGGCAGTCCCCGAGAAACCATTGAGAATTTGAGCTTTGAAGTAATCACAAAGCCAAGATAAAACTTGAATTTGTTAGTGGTAGGCGAGAAAACACAATGGATACCTGGAAAGTTGACTCGTCGGCTTTCACTATCTTAATATATATTCAAATCTGTCTTCTAGCACAAAACGTTAACAGTATTTTCTTTAATTCTATTGTGGATATAATTTATTTTGATAAAGTCTCACAGTGTTACTCAGTAATATTGACTGATGATGTTTCGAGCACAAATTATTGCTCGTAATCATTTCAAGTTATGAGTGATAAATTCTGCTTGAAACGTCATCAGTAAATATTGCTGTATAACCCCGTGAGACTTTATCAAAATAAATTTTACCTACAATGAAATTATACTCTACTACAGTGCACAAAATCTATTCTTATATCAGTGTTTTGTTTGACTTTTATTTTCCAGTTACCGACTTCAACACACTGACTAAATGAGAAAATTGCTTCTTTTTGAAAATATTTTTATGCTACAAAAATAATCAGGCGCTTACAGAATTCGATGCTCTTTAAGTAAACTTTAAACATTTTGTTTCCAGTCACTATCAAAGTAGTTAAAATAAACATAATAATAGCCGTCTCTATGGCTAGCAGTGCTACAGTGCTAAGCGTCATTATGTTGTCACGATCTACGCCTACGTTCAGAAAAGAGCTAGCCACCTGCCCACTCACTCTGTCTCCGCCCACCTTTTCATGCCTAGCATAACTGATCGATCAATGTACTACTATTGTGTTATCTAATCATTTTACTGAATTCACCTTCTTTTACAAATATATTCTCCTGTTTGAAATTCTTTTTTGACTCTTCCTTTATTTTAATTGTTATCTCCAATTCACTTGTCATAACTATAAAAATATGTATCCAATTGTAAACCGCATAGCAATAAATTTTGGGTTTTGCCTTGCGCAAACGGAAGCTTACCTCTTACTAAAATTATTATTATTATTACTATTACTACTAATATCACTACAGTTGCATCTGTCGCAGAGACACTACTGTTATCTCTTATACACTAGTGATCCTATGTAATGAGATGATTAATGTTACTGAAAATAATTCACAGGTGTTTACTGTCTTCAGTCAGATCACTTATTTTATGACATATTTTATTTTTACATAGCTTGTGTCTTTCAAAAGGATAGATAGTCTTTACTGTGATGAATACTACAGAAGTAAAATATGATAATTTATAACTGATATACTATTAAATGGTACATTGATATTAATTTGAAACCAAAATGTAGGCAGACTGAAGACACTTGCTTAATGGTAAAAAAAAGGTATTCGGATTCTGGATATCCAATCATCCAATCTGATAATTTTCAGTTGAATATATATATATATATATATATATATATATATATATATATATATATGTATATATTCTGAACAGTAGCTTTAGCCATTATCGAATGAATAGCATCATGGTGAACCTTATTCTGTAGATATCAAAGAAGGCATTCACAAGCCGGATGAAGACCCTCAAAGTTAAGTAAAATACATGTGGGGAGAGAAAATGACTTTTGTTCTAATATGTACTTATGGAATGAAAGCATTCCATAAAAATAAACAAATAACTTTTTAGCCAAGTAATTGTTACACTCTAGTACAATTTATACAGAGAATCTGCCACTTTATTGATGACAGACTCCCCCAAGGTATAGTGAAAGCCTCCAAAAAGCAACATACAGTTGACTGATATTCATAATAATAACTGGCATATACACCTCTTTGATTTTCAAACTAATTCAGAAACTTGTATTTTATTGTTTCTACTGTCTAGCAGAGGATGGGTGATATTTCCTAATGGTATCTAAATAAACCAAGGTTGAGCAGAGTACATAAAACATTATTGGATTAATTAAAAGTTAAAAACTGTTCGAAAAGTGAGTAATTGGGTTCTACTGTTTGAAATTGTGTAAACAGACATATCAAACGAAAACGGATCAGGCAGGGTTTTCGTTTATTTACACCCGACAGAACGCAAATAGTTGTTTGTTTATCTTTAATCACGTGTAGATCGATTCCTTTTTGCAACTGCATTACCCATATCTTCAGTTAGGTCTGTGGCCCCAGAGTTACCCTGGAAACTGAAGTCTAATTCGAAATGAGAGATAGGATGCCGTCACCCTGTATATTCTATGAAAACATAAACTAATGCCAACAGGCTTTACGTCTAGATTCGACTTTCTCAAAGAATTTGAATTGCTGGAATGTCTACCAGTATGAACTGCATAATGCATTATTATTACTATTGTTGTTTTATTTCTTTAGGCTTCAAGTGGAACACAGGAATCTATGCTTCACCTCTGAAAATTCAGTAGCACTGGTGTTTATTTGTTTACGCAGCAGAATTGTTAGCCTCACTCCCGACCTTCTCTCTTTACTGGGTTTATTACTGGCTAAGCGAGGTTAGGAGTGTCTTGGTCGTGTAGTGAACCCTGGACAATGGGATCAGTAGGTGAGTATCCTTCCATTGAACCACCAGCACACACGTGTAGTACACAGTCGATATCCACGCTGAAAATTCCACACTTGTACCAAAAATACAGTGTGGAATCAAGATGTAATCAAAAATTAAAAAATTAAAAAATTTCTGTTGCTCATTATTTGCAAATACTTGAGTTGTACAAGTACATACTTAAAGCATGAATATTTCCTTTAGATTTATCAAAATCTACCAATTAAGTAAAACGCTAGAATCATACACAAACCAAAGCCCACTGTTTTTTTAACTGTCGGTGATAAACAGTCATGGACAATCATGTAAGTCTATTAAAACTGTTCATTTAACACACTGGAAGAATGTATTCATGAGAATGTGACCCATTCTATTTAAGCATAAGTTAACCGACTGTTAAATAACTATGGGCAGAGAGTGATTAGCGAAATCTATTTAAGGCATATTCGAAAATATCACACTATTTATCTTTCATAAGTTCATGTCAGTGACCCTTATTTACCCCACTTTTATTGTC